CATCTCACACAGCCTTTAGCATCTCTGCTGATTTTGAGAAGAGCTTTTTAAATTCTGATGGCCAGATGTTCTCCCACCATCTCTGCCATGCCCTCACAGCACATTCTCAACTGGTCCTTTCTCCACTTGTTTCAGTCTTGAACATTCTACCAGCCACTTTCCATCTTCCATAAACTTATTGAAATCTTTCACTTGGCTCTGATTCTCCTGCATTGTGCTTACAATTGCAGTTTATTATTTTTTCTGGTTTTGTCCCTATAACTTTTATTTTAAGGGATCCAAGGAGGGACATTAAGATTATACATTTGCCCAGTCCACTTTCTTGTGTAAAAATTCCTATTACTTTCGTAATAAGTAAAAATATGATTAAAATATAAATTTAAGCTGAAGCTCTCTTTTTTGCTTGCCAAACTTTACAGTACTATAGAGAAACATTAAAACTTGTTTTGTTAGCCATTCTTTTCCAAAGTAGTCATCATATGGGTTTTAGTTAAAGTTATTACTCAAGACTTCATCATGATATTTAAAGAGTTGTTGTTGTTATTGTTGTTAAGTGCGGTCTATTGGGTTCCGAGTCATGGTGACCCTGTATAGGGTTTCTGAGGCTTTGAATCTTCAAGGGAACTGAAAGCCTCATCTTTCTTCCACAAAGCAGCATGTGGGCTCAAGTCATGAACCTTGTGATTCGCCGTCCAGTGCTTATTGTATGAAGTAAGGCACATTTAAACACAGTTCTGTATTAATCAACTTCTTTTTGTTGCTCTGTTTAACTTTCTGAACCATCTCCATACAAAGTTGTGGGGTAGGGGTGGCAGGCGGAGGGATACTATCACAGAGAGTTGGTTAGAGAGGTCTTTTCAGAAGGAATAGGAAGGGCAATTGGCCTCAATTCCCTGGTAATGGTGGAGTTGATTGTGGCTTGTTGTAAAAAGTCTCAGTACTTTTTTATGTAAGATAGAGAGCCACCTCCTTTCTCCTTCTACCATTCCTCTGAGTCACTACCCATCCAGAAGCACAGGTACTAATTACACAGTCTTAAGTAAGAGCTGAAAAAGTAGATATGCCTGTAATAAGGATAGGGAACCAGCCTTTACATTGTTCAGAGAGATAAGGCAAGATCCAATTTTGATTTTCTAAATATAAACCATAACTTAATACCATAACCACTAGAGTTTAAACAGTCTCTGCCCTGCATTATAAGTCACTCCCACTCATTTCTTCTATGGCAGGGCTCCTTTTATAACCTAGCCAATGGAAACAATTCACCTTCTGTTTGACTAGTTCTAATGCCAGGGATCTCATTTGATTTCATTACTTTGAGATCCCTGGTACTAGAACTAAGGAAAAGGTGGGAGTCCTGGTGTGGTGCTGTAAGATAAGCACTGGACAGCTAACCTCCAGGTCAGCCATTCAAACCCATCAGCTGTTCCTTGAAAACACTAGACAGGATCACGATGAGTCAGAACCAACCCAAAGGCACTTAGCAACAATAGTGCCAGGAATCCTGTTACTTTAGGAGCATCCCATACTGTTATCATACAGCTCTGCTCGTTCCCAAATTCTTGATTGAAACGAAAGCCTACTTTTTTTAGAAAGTCCCAGCTACACTCTTTGGCATTACTCAGAATAAGGAACCTGAGATCATGGAAAAATCATGGGCTCAGAAAACATATATCTTGAGACATTTCAATTCTGAATCCTAGCTGTGCCATTTACTAGCTACACATGCATCGGCAACTTCTTAACAGCCAAGAGACTCAGCTTCCTTACGTGTTAAAAGAGGACATTAATAACTACCTAAAATAGCTGTGAGGATTAAGTAAGATAACCAGTGTAAAGCTCCTGACCTGTCACAAGTGGTCAGTGAACATTAGTTCTTTTCTTTGCCCCACCCTATTCCTTTTCCCCATAACAACCCTTCAAATATTTGAATACAGCTATTAGGTTTCCCCCTAAGTTTTTCTCTTACCAGCCTTGAACACACCCAGTTTCCTCATCCATTTCACATGAGAGACAGGTCCATGAGCTCCAGGGTAGGGGTAGGTCTTAACTTCAAACACTCCAGTGCCTGACACAGTATGTGAAATATGGTTGACGTTCACGAGGAGCTATTGACTGATGAGAATTAAGATGATCTTCACATACCAATCCCAATTCCCAAGATTCCAAATTTTCTCTTTTGGGGGAGAATGCTGAGAAATAGTTTATAGCTGGAAATTATCAATGTGAGTCCTCTCCTCAGACATTCAAACATTTATCTGACAATGAAAAAACAAAGTTTTTGCTCAAAAGCAATGTCTGAATTTTTTTTTTCATATAATTACCCAATCCTTTACTACCTAGTTCTTTATCTTTTATACTTGCTTTCATGAGTCTGTTCCTGTCCATTCTTCATATCATTTTAAAAGCAGGTAAAGTTGCTTTAAAAAACAACCATGCTTTTAAAATATCTAGGGTAGCAACCAAATTTAATTATTCTGTTAATTAAATATTCTCTACTAAGAGGAAACCATATCAAAACATTTGTTACTTTATGTTGTGTTACATATTTTTACCAAAAAATGGTGGTGGGGGGGAGCTGTTAGGCTACTTATGTGTAATTAAACACCTCATGGAATTTATTTCCTTGGTTTGGAGATTTAGTGTCATGGTTTCAAGGAACATCCCAACTAACTGACCTAACATTGTTTATCTGCACGTGGTTCTACCTCCTACTTTACTGCAGCCATCCAAGGTACAACATATCCATCTCCATGAACCTGAAGCGACAGAGAAAGTTAAGATCAGAAGAAGAAATCAAAAGTATATCTGGTTGCCTTTATGAACAAATACTTCTTTTGACATGAGATCAGAACTGGATGATGCCCAACTACCATTATTGAGGGTTTTGATCATAGACTCTATAGAACAATCTTAATCAAATGGGAGAAAATGAAGAAGAGAATTTTAAATTCTTATGTAATACAGAACTTCCAGAGCCATTGAGACAATGAATCCATAGAAATTTGCCCTAAGATAATTTTTAAACCTGAAACCTAACCCCAAAACACCCCCTAAAGTTTCTTAAAAACCATATAGTAGTTTAACTTAACTAGTAAAGAATGTTTGTCTTGAGCATTGTGCTCATTTAAAGAATGATTTATGTGCAATCAAGTTGACAACTGCAACTCATAAGGTTGGATGGGAAATTTAGGAGTCAGTGAGTTTAAGATTAGGACGGTGGAATAATTTGGAAAAGGATAGCAAGATGGTAGCACGACTTGAAGACTGTAACTATTGTCCCTGAATTACACATGCAGGAATTGTTGAAATAGTGTCTCTTTTGGGTCGTACATGCTATCACCAAATTAAAAGTTCACCATTTCTTTTTCCTGTTTAGCACCTCAGATTCACTCCTACCTCTCCTCATTTTCATTGTTTTCCTGTGTCCCTTTACAGAGAAAACACAGTTATATGGATGCTGAATTATAAAATCCTCAGACCATAAAAGCACTTTCAAAAAGCAGATTGAAATCACATTTTTAAAATAGTACATCTTAGGTAAACAAGGTGCTACACACCCTGCAAGAGAATTTTTTTTTTTTCTAATCATGCCTCTGGACAAGGAGAGCAGTACATTGAAACACCTGAATCAACTGGTATCTCCACTTTTGTCACATGGCTAAATGGTCCCTTTATTTTCAAACACATGATTGACACTCATATATCAAGGCTGGGTCAAGTGCAGTCCATCCTACGGGCAGAGAGAAGAATCAGATGACTGATTTGTCAAACAGAAATGTAATTGTGTCCTTAAGTCCTTAGGTTAAAAAAAATCAACACTACCCTGAAAATTCCTCAAAATCATAACCTACAAAAGTCAGTACACAATACAAGATCCCCTTTCTTTTTCCTCTGGATGAACTTGAAGCCAAGACTTAACTGAAGATGCCAAAGGAAGGAAATAGACGTAAGATGGTCTGACAGCAGAGGAGGGCAGACTGGACGTGGTGGTGATGAATCAGGTTGTTAGCCCCAGGGGATGTCTCCTAACTTGTGCAATTAGAGGCTCAATAAAAGGTTTCAGAGCCTGTTGTCAGCACCCAGCCTGGTGCCCCACATCCCACTTGCTCTCACTCCTGAACAAGGTAAGTCTCAGAGACTCTGCTTCAGCACACTGACAATCTCAACCGCTGCTTTGCTTATATGAGACTGAGAAAGGATTTTGGAGAAAACATTTATCAGAAATAAGTGTAGGTGTAGCCTTATTCATGATTCTAAATTGGGAACTCCAGCCACCCAAATGCATTCCTTGCTTAAGAAACTTCTTTGGGCATTTTCCTTTTTTAAAAAAATGCACAAATCATTTGGATGACATAGGCATGAATACTATTTAACAAGGCATGGGACCCAGGCCTATATTAAAATGAAAATAGAGAGCCACTTAAAGACTGAGGGGTTGGGACTCTGTTTTATGAATGAGTTCATTGAGCCTTGTCTTCTTGGTAAAAAACAATATTACTTCTGCCTACATACACAGAGTTAATTTTTGTGGGATTACTTTTCTTTCCTCTAGAATCTTTACTAACTTTAAAAGTTATACTTTCTAAGGGTAGGAAGGTGGCCTGAGACAAGTGGGAGAAAAGCAGGAATGACTGACACCATCTGTTGACTTCATGTATGCGTTTCAGTGTTTACTCTTGAGTTCTTTTGTCAACCTCTTTTGCAATAAAACTTTCTATGAACACATGAGCTTCCCTATTTTTCACAAGATGAAGTGAAATGTCTCTTCTAATGCCTACCTATCCTTGATCTAGTCTCTCAGCAATATCTGACACATGATTAAATATGGAGTTCTGATACAATACTATATACTGATACTATATAGAGCAGGGGATGAGATTGGAGATGGGGAGGGACTCAAAAAAAGAGAAAAGTCTTGGCATTCCCTTCCTAAAGGACACACTCTGAGACACTGGTTTTGTTTGTTCTTCTTCACAGTCTTGCCTGAGTTTCTGAAGATGCCCCGGCTCCTGAGAAGTGTCCTTTCTGTAATCGAGATCTTCTACAAGTATACCAGGAAAGACGGCGATGGGATGACAATGACCTGCAGAGAGCTAAAGCACCTGCTCCAAGGAGAGTTTGAGGACATCCTTCAGGTGAGGTGTTCATGGAGCTGTGGAAATTCTTTCCCATTTGCCCTTTCTCCATAATTCAAGTAAGATGAGCATAGGTGAGCACTGCCCATTTTGTATTTGCCTACCAGTGCAGTGGTCCCATATGACAAGCAATGGACTGTGAACCACAAGGTCAGTGGTTCGAGTCTGCCAGCTGCTCTGTGGGAGAAAGATGAGATTTTCTCCTCCAGCAAACTTTTTTGGAATCCTGGTATGCTACTGTGGGTTAATGCGCTGGACTGCAAGGTCGCTTGAACCACAAAGTCTCACCAGCCACTCCTTGGAAACCCTATACAGGGTCGCTATGTGTTGGAACCAACTCAACGCACTTAACAACATCAACAACAACCAGCACTTAGCACTCACTGACTTTTGTACAACTTTGTTTAGTTTCTTAGTTTGCACAATTGCTTAGACAGTCTTACAGAGAGAATGATGTTTTCCTCACTGAGACTTCATCAAAGTAGACTTCTTAAAGTCATTATAAATTTAAATGCAACTCAAAATTGATATAAATGCTCCTTCACATCCAAAGCTTTCTGTTAGTGTCCTAGGTCTGCTGTAACAAATCATCACAAACTGGGTTACTTGAAACAATAGAAATATATTGTCTCACTGTTCTGGAGTCTAGAGATCTAAAGACTCTAGGGAAGAATCCTTCCTTGCTTCTTTCTGGCTTCTGGTGGTTGATGGCAATCCTTGATAGTCCTTGGCTTATAGCGGCAGCACTCCAATTTTTGTTTCTGTCTTCCCATGATCATCTTCATCTTGCCATGTGTCTCTGATGGCTTTCTTATAAGGATACCAGTCACTAGATTTAGGACTCACCCAAATATAGTTTGACCTCAACTTAAATTATTATGTCTGTGAAGACCCCATTTCCAAGTAAGATCATATTCTGAGGTTCCAGATGGACATGAACCTTTGGGGGAGGGGGACCCATGTGACCCAATACATTATTTGATGAAAGATAGCATTCAGAACAATGAACTCTTACAACTGTGGGAAATGTTACCAGCTGCTTAGGGTACAATTCTTGAGAGACTTGCAGCTACTCAGGTCACAGTCCCACACATAAATAACCTCATTTCTCACTGTGTTTTCATGCAGCCATATGTCCTTCATGCTGTGGAGAAAAATGTGAACCTTCTGGATACTGGCAGTGATGGCAGCATTAGTTTTGATGATTTTGTCCTTGCAATCTGTAACTTGTTAAACCACTGTTACCTTGACATACAATCATTAAATTCAGAACTAAAACGAATATCTAAACCAGAGAAGGAAACACCAGATGATGTGGATTCTCAGACAACCAGAAGTGGTCAGCAGAGAGAAGAAACCCCACCTACTAAAGACAATGTGGTACTTCCTTCAGGAATGGCACCATCATCTGAAGTCAAATTTGAAAAGAGGGGAGCAGTTAAAAATAATGAGGCGGACCCAAGAGAACACTCCAAAACTCATAAACTACCTGGAGAAGCATCTGAGCACAATGACTCTAAGAACACACATGTGGAAGGGGATGAGCAGGAAGTAGCCCAAGATGTACAAACAGAAGTAGACAGTGGGACCCAGCTTGAGACAAACAAGGCAATGACAACATCAGAACAGACCTCCAGTCCCACAAAGGAGGAGGAACCAGAAAAAGATGCTGACAGGAAATCATGTGAGTCAGAGAAATCAACTGCATATGTGATTGATGGTAGAGTATGTGAAGTCCAAGAACTAGGAAAGGGTGATGCTGATCGGACACTACCAGAGACAAAGTATTCAGCTGAGCCTGATAATGAAGGTAGAATAGCTGAGACTCAAGAGCCACCAGCACAAGAAAAAGAACAGGAAACAAAGAGCCTTCCAGTTCAAGATGACATAAATATTTCAGAAACACATGATGTTAAAACTAAAAGGAAACTGGGGAGAGGCCATGAAACCCATGAAATAGGGCAGAAAGAAAGTGAGATAAAAACTCAGACATCAGCCCTGGAAGTCCAAATACAAGACAGGAAGCATCAGGAACTTCAGGGACCATCAAAAGAAAGGGAAGCTACAAAAGGGTCTGAGACACAAGATCTGACCTCAGAAGGAATAAATCAGAATCATCGTGAAATTGAAAAGGCAGAAACCCCAAGAGAAGATGTAAGATACACTGAGAAAGACACAGCAGACATACTTGTGAGCAGCAAAAATGCCCCAGTATTAGAAGGAGCACTAGGAGCAAGGGAAAGAACACAGGAAGAATCACCACTTGAAAGCCCATCTGGAGGAGAAGACAACATTGCCAAGACTCAAGACAAGTCAACAAAGGAGGGTGACAGTGACCAGGGGGAAGATCTTGTGCCACCAACCACACAGAATGAAGGGTCCTCTGAAACCCCCAAAAGCTTGCCTCCAGAGGAAGGTGACAGAAGCTCAGAAACAGGCGACCTACCTGCACAAGGCTCTACCCACAGTCAGGTAGACACACAGGAAGAGTCTATGCAAGGAGACTGCAACAATGACTCAGATGCCCAGAGACAGGCAGCAATGAGTGAGAAACACAAATCTCAGGAGTCGATGGTACTGGCAGTCAGAGGAGAGTCAGAGCAGCGCACCGAGGAACAAGAACAATTTCTCAGAGAAGAATACAAGAGTCAGGGCTCAGAGACCAAAGGCCCAGGTCCAGATGTAGATCTTAATAGATACCCAGAGGCACAGCAGTCTACAGTAGGAGGTGAAAATGGACAGTCCGTGGAGATTGAGATTCCAGAAACCCTGGATGCAGATAATAATGGTCAGCTTTCTGTAGAGCAACAACCCACTAAGGGAGATGGTAGGAAACAACTGAAGGTCCAGAGCTCAGGTACTGAAGAAGGTAGAGCATCGGAGACCCAGGAAACTCCATTAAAAAGTCTGGATGAGGACAATTCAACCTCCCCTGAGACACACCATGAAACAGAGGAACTCGCAACATTACAAGAAGAGAATGGAAGTGTCCAGGAGCTGGCAGAAGGTGATGACCAACAACATTCATCCAAGAAAGGGCGATATTCTTCAGTTCCCCAGTCAGACCTTGAAGAGAGAATGCAGAGGGACCAACAACCCTGTTCTGTAAAGAAAGGTTCACTCAATCCCGGCTCACTATACGAATATCTTCAGGAAGAGATTCCACAGCAAACAGACATAACCCAAGAAGAGCATCAAAAACAAGTTCAGTCAGCAGGGGCATTGGGCCTAGAGTTCAGCACCAACCAATCAAGTGCATCCCTCAGCCAAGCATTACAACAGCACACCAGGGAACTTTTGCCTGATGAGGCTCCTGCTGACCCAGAGCAGATATCAGCAATCAGGACTCCAGAAGAAAAGTAGGGTCACCCTCTGAGAGAGGAATCAGTACCACCAAGGAAAGCAAGTACCACAAAACAATGAAACATTATTGGTATTCCAGGAGAAGGAACTTCATACAAAAAAGCTCCAGCTTTCTTCCCTCCCAACCACCCTCAACACTCACATACAACATTCAGATACAAATTCATAATCCTATACATTTCCAACTTGAGCTTCTACAGGAGAAAATAACTAAGTATTCAGCATTGGGAACTACCACCAAAGAAATGGCAGATCAAACTAATACAACCAGTGGAAATTCTACTGTATGATTCTACCTGCAAGTGCCAAAATAGATTTTCTTGTAAGACCACCTAAATTTATTTCTCATTAAAAATAGAAAAAGTCCTTCCGTATCTTCAGCAGGTAGCAATTTCTTCACCTGATTCATTGGCTTCTAAAATGTGGCAGTAGGAAGTTATGATACTCTGTAATACTACCTTATAATAAAAAAAAAAAAACATTAATTCACAAATACAGATTGTCTGCTTCATTATATTTCCTACAAGGATTCCAAGTTAACACTCAAATTATATCCCTCAAAATAACTTCATATACCAATACAACTTAAAATAATGATGATTTTCTAATACCTAATTAAAGTAAATGGAGTCCTGATTTGGTGCTGCAGGTTAATGAGCTGGACTGCAAGGTCAGTTTGAACCACAAGGTTGGCAGTTCAAATTCACCAGGCATCCCTCACAAACCCTATACAAGGTCACTATGGATCAGAATTGACTCAATGGCACTTAACAGTAACAACAGCAATTAAAGTAAAATAGCTCTAGCAATACAGTGGGTTCAAACCCATCAACCCCTCCACAGGAGAAAGATGAGGCTATCTGCTCCTGTAAAGATTTATAGTCTCAGAAACCCTACAGAGCAGTTCCACTGTGTCCTATAGGATCGCTCTGAGTCAGAATGGGCATTATGGTAGTGGGTGGGTAATTCTATGTTCCTCATGAATGAATAAGAGCCTTAGTAGCATAGTGGGTTACATGTAAGGCTACAGTTCACATCTACCAGCCCCTCCATAGGAGAAAGATGAGACTTTCTGCTCCCATAAAGAAACCCTATATATGACTGCTATGAATCAAAACCAATTCAACTGTAGCACACGCTACCACCACCACACCACCACCAAGAATGAATGTATTGCTGTTAAGTGCTATCAAGTTGGTTCTGACTCATAGTATATATATATATATATATATATGGTTTCCAAGGAGCAGCTGGTAGGTTTAAACCAACAAACTTGTGGTTCAAACCAACCTTTCAATCCAGTACATTATCCTGCAATGCCACACCAGGACTCCACCATGAATGAATATCCCTATTTTAAAAAAATGCCCTTAAATAATCAAGAAGGAGCTCTGGTAGTGTAGTGGTTATGAACACATCAGGCTGCTAATTTCACTGTCAACAGTTCAAAACTACGAGCAGTTCCACAGAAGAAAGATGAAGCTTTCTGCTCCCATAAAGATTTACAGCCTCAGAAACTCTACACAGGGTCACTAAGATTCAGAACCAATGCCATGGCACTTCACCACCACTACTACCAAATGATCAAGAGACATGAGAAAATCCACAAAACAGATGATATACAAAAGACCTTCAAAAAGTTTGTGGAAAAGAATCCATTATCTTTTTCTCTGAACATTTTGAAGCCTCTTCATATACTAGAGCATAAACAGTCCTTTTGACAAGCAATTTGGTAGTATTTATCAAGCTCCATACAACTGACAAAGAACATGAAAAATGAATTCACAAAAGAAACAGTGGCCAATAAACCTGAAGTTCACATTGGAATGCAAGAAAATGCTCATTTAAAATAATATTTTTAACAATTAAATTAGTAAAAGTTGCTTGTTTGTTTTTACTAAGCACACAGTGAGGTTTAGGGTAGGGTGCAGTGCAGCGAATTACTTCATATGGCTCTTTTACCCATAGTTTTGGTAACTCCACCAAACAACTTTTTTGCTGATGTGTCTGAATCAAAGAAAGTGAGAGAAGATGCTAATAGGATGATATGATCCGATTGTGAAGAATTGTTAGCATGGCTAATTGTGATTGTAAAGACTTGGAAATCTAATGAGGGGATTGGTCAATTTTGCCATCCTGCTGAGTTTTAAATGAGCCATCTAAGAATCAGGAAGGAGAATCTCATTACAATTAAGATCGAAGAGCCAGGAGTAAAGCATGTCCTTTGGACCCCAAGACAACTAGGTGTTTATGGTACAGTGAATTATGGCTCTTCTACCAGCCGCTCCGCGGGAGAAAGATGAGGCTTTCTACTCCTGTAAGGATTTACACCCTCAGAAACCCTGTACAAGGTCACTATGGGTCGGAACCGACTCAACGGCACTTAACAACAACAACAACAACAACAACCATAGCCTTTAAGGAGCTATGGTAGTATAGTGGTTATGAATCAGGGTGCTAACCTTAAGGTCAGCAGTTTGAAACTACCAGCTGCTCCGTGGGAGAAAGATGAGGCTTTCTGCTCCCATAAAGATTTATAGCCTCGACAACCCTGTACAGGGTCACTATGAGTCGGAACTGACTCCACAGTACATAACCACCAACCACCATAGCCTTTGTAACTCCCACCAAATGACTGGGTGGTTGTTATTGTTAGGTGCTATCAAGTCGGTTCTGACTCCTATTGACCCTATGCACAACAGAATGAAACACTGCCCACTCCTGCTCCATCCTTATGCTTGAAGCTGCAAGTGTCAACCAATCTCATTGGGGGGGATCATCCTATTTTTCACTGGCCCTCCTCTTTACCAAGCTTGATGTCCTTCTCCAGTGATTGGTCTATCCGAATAACACGTCCAAAATATGTGAGATGAAGTCTCATCATCCTGGCTTCTAAGGAATATTCTGGCTGTACTTCTCCCAACACAGATTTGTTTATTCTTCTAGCATATTCTCCAACACCAAAATACAACTGCATCAATTCTTCCTTATTAATTGTCCAACTTTTGCATGTATGTGAGGCTATTGAAAATAACATGTCTTGGGTTAGGCGCAACTTAGTCCTCAAACTGCTATCTTTACTCTTTAACACTTTAAAGAGGTTTCTTGAAGCAGATTTGCCTATGCAATACGTCATTTGATTTCTTAACTGTAGCTTCCACTAGTGTTGATTATGGATCCAAGCAAAATGAGTCTTGACAGTGTCAATCTTTTCTCCATTTAGCATGATGTTATTTATTGGTCTAGTTGTAAGTTTTGTTTTGTTTTCTTTGCATTGAGGTGCAAAATGACTGGGTGGGACCATGAAAATAGGATATGCAGGATGGACTCTAACAAGCAGATTGGTTAGTTTTGTATAGTATTTCAAAGGAGCAACTGGTGGGTTTGAACTGCTGAACTGAGGCTTGTAGTCCAGTGCTGATCCTATAATGCCACACTAGGAGCAGAAACAGGGGGCATCAAGACCATCAAGAAAAGAGAGTCACAAGTAGAGCACATCCTTTGGACCATGATGTTGCTGTGCAGAGAACTGGAAGTAGCAGAGGCAGTGGCATGGAGAAACAGAGCTTCCTGTCCCACTGAGTGCCTTCATGGAGGAGACTGGCTTGCAGAGTTGGGTGCCCTTTGAGCATTTATCAGCAGAGATAAAAGAGCTTATAACACTTATCCTAGTAGGGCTGGAGCCCAGAAGGTACATGGCTGAGATGATAGGAACAGTATGACTGAGGAACGGCACTAGTGACCAGAGAACAGCTGTATCCTGAATTGTTTCTGATCCTGAATTGCACCTTGTTAACTTCCTTAATAAACTCAATTGTGAATATAGTCTGTGATTTCTTTGTGGCCGTTGTAGCATATTGCCAAAACCAGCAGAGAAGTAGAGTGTGCCATGGGAGAGATGGCTAAAACAGTGGCATGCCCTTTGCCTATTTATTGGCAGCCCTAGAAGCTTTGTAACATTGTGAAGCAGGGGAGAGGCCAGGCTAAGAGGCTGAAGGTCAGAGAGAGACCTGTCTGTGACCATGACTGAGAAGGGGCTCATCTGACTTGGAAGGACTGTCCCCTGAGCATTTCTGACCCTGAATTGTAACCTGTTAACTTCCCTAAAGGAATCCTGGTGAGGTGCTATAGGATAAGCACTGAACCGCAAGGTCAATTTGAGCCACAGGGTCATCTGTTCAAACTCACCAACTGCTCCTCAGAAATCCTATACAAGGTCACTATGAGTCAGAAATGACTTGATGGCACTTAACAACAACAACTTCCCCATAAACCCCATAATCATGAATACTGTCTCTGAGTGCTGTGTGACCTTTGCAATGAATTATGTAATCTAGCTAAGTAGAGAGTGTTGTGAGAAGGATAATTGGTGTCAGATTTTGTAGAAAAGGTAGAAGGCTGGAGGCGTGTGTGACCTCAGCCTCATAGGAATTAGCCTTGGGCTGTGGAGTTTGATCCTCTTCTGTGAAGTTAGAGGAGATCAGATAACACACTCTAGCCTTCCAGCACCCCTCCACCCACTGCAAGTCATTTTGCATGGCATAAACAGGTACTCTCAAATATAGCTCATAAGAGTATAAATCAATACAAATATTCCTACAAGGCAATTTCATAGCATACCTCAAGAACACTGAAAATACTTTCTAACTCACCACATATGTGAGTTATGATGAACCACGCTGACACCTGTCCATTTTTGTTTTTGTTTTTTAGCATGTTATCATTAGTGATATGTGCTATATACAATGTTGTAACACCTAATTTTCTGATGCTATCATTCTCATAGTCTCATAACAATCCTCGAAGATAAAAAGATTGGATTTATAATAATAAAAGATATTAATAATGAATACTTCTTTTAAATCAAGCATTCAGCTTACATCAGAAAAGTCACTGGAACGGAATGCCATTGTAAGTCAGGAACCACCTGTATAAGGAAATGTATTAAAAACAGCAAAAAACAGAGAATAATCAAAAAATGCTCATCTTGACTGGAAGGG